CCGTTTCAAAAGTACCGGTTTGGCACCGGTATCGGATAAAACCTAAACGATACCCATCCCTAGTGGTATATAAGGACTATATAGTGGTATATATAGTCCTTTGGCTGTGTCACATCAGCTCAGGACAGAGAAGATTGAAAAGAGTCAAAAGCAAGTACAAATATGATTTTGGGCCTCAGTGCAGCTCATTCGTTCATCCTGTAGCTGTATTAGCTGTATTAGTTCCTCTCTGTTTTTTTCCCTCACAAACAGCCGATGGATGGCGCTTCTGTGCTCATTGGTAGAAAATGCACAACTACAGGGCACTTCGGCAAGTACCAAAGTAAGCAAAGTGTCTTCATATTACTTTGACTTTCAATTTGTTTAAAGCAAAAACAATTTACTCAAGCATTGCAGCTCGGCAGCTTGTTACTGGATTAACAGGCTGATTGTTTTTGTGCTGCTTTCTTTTAATGAACTTCTGACAAGAAGAGAACTTCCCGTCAGTCACAGCTGGGCCGACAAGTTCTTCAAATCTCAATACCAAAACGTTTAAGTGTGTATACAACTACTTACCGTCTCCATGCTGATAATAAATATGTCTGATGTTAAATTAAATAGAACAATATACTGCAACAGCGCAGTGTATAAAAAAAAGAAGCTCACAGGCAGTGAGCAAAAGCTTCAGGAATAGAAAAAATATCAAACAGACATTACATAATTTTTCTTCCAGGTGTCCCACTCTGTACATCCGGTCTGTGTGTGTATAGATAAAGGAGAGCAGCTGCTCTGATATTGTACCTCTTCCAGCCGCTGCTTGGTGTTGCTCATGCTGCTCTCCAGGTCCTGCAGAAGGCTGTACATCTGCTGGATCTCAGCCTCGGTGTGAGTCACACCCTGCACCATGTTCTGCAGCTCCACCCCACGCTCGTCTGTTTCTTCCTGAAAACAGCCATCATACACGTGGATCACAAGCACATCAACTCAACGCAGCAGCTTTTGGAGTCAAAGACGTTTTCCACTCACGATGGAGTTCTTGATGCTCTTCACATTCTCCCTCATCTTCTCCATCTGGCTCTTCAGCTCCTCTGGAGACTCCACGATCTGAGACTTCAGTTTGCTGATGTCTTCCTTCAGGTTGCTGACATCTAGCTTCACCTGGGCCTGATGCACACAAACTCGCACTTATATTTGCCGTTCAAAGCTCCGAGCGCACACAGGCAACAGCGTAAAGTGCTCGGACAGTTTACCAGTTTCTGGGTCTTCTCTGCTATCGTAGCTTTCCACTCTGTGATGCTGTCGTTTTTGGCATTCTGGAAATAAAAGTGTTTTGTTTTTTTATTTACTGATGGCACACACAATACCTTTTACTACACTGAGCATGCTTCATCACCCCCTACCACTTCCTGGTATTCATGCATGGTGGTGGACTGTAGCTCAGAGAGAGCGGCTGCCAGCTCATCAGCCTCAGCCTGTTGCTCTGGTGGGATGGTCCTGAGTAAGGACAAGACAAAGTGCAGTGCTTAGCCTGCATAACTGTTCATTTACTCGTAATAGAGACAATTGATAGATTATTAGTCAATCATTCTGTTGCTTTAAATAATAAAAAAAAAGGTCATACATTGTGCATTCACAGACAGTGAGATCGGGAAATATAACATATGTCACATAAACTGTGTGGGAGATTCCTGTTGGACAGGGACCCATCTTAACACAGGGATCACCTTGTGTTAAAATGTAAGGGATCCCTTACCTTAAATATCTGCCTATAGTGGCACACGGGGATCAGAGTTATTTTTCTTGTGAGTGAGACAAACAAAAATTCAGTCTGTAGTTTCTCATTTTGAGCCTAAGCAAAAGGAAAGAGTTCTGATGGAGCAGACAGCCTTGGATTAGCTCTTCTTTCTGGAAAAATTAGCAGCTGTCTCCACTAATGAGCATAAAAATGTTATTAAATGGTTGTGGCCTGGATTGTTTCAGGGATGGCATGTTTTTCCAGCCATACACCAAACAACACCGACAAAAGTCACAGAATCGTTCCTCCACTTACGTCAGCATCTCAATCTTCTTCTCTGCCTCCCTGATGCCTTTAGTATAAGCCTGCAGTCTGTCCATGTCTGCCCGCTGAAAACACAGAGCAACAGTATTACTGCGAGGCTAACAAACACATTGGAATGGTATATAAAATAATAATCCAGCGTACTGAACCTTCTTGCAATATATTCTACTCTCATGATTAAAAGTGATTTGCAACATGTCGTCTAAAGTCTTAGTAAACGGGTACAGTTATGCATATCGGA